CTTCATATCTCAAGGAACTAGAAAAGGAACAAAGTTAACAGAAGGAAAGAAATAATAATGATTAAAACAGAAATATTTTCACAGGAAGACAAAAGAAAAAAAATCAACTAGCTATGGGCACTTGCTGCAGCAAAGGATGCGTCATTTGGAACTCTATCCCACGTTGGGATGCCTGAGTTCATGCTGGGCTCAACTTCCAATTTCAGCTTCCTGCTAAGGTGCACCATGATAGGCAGCAGGGAATGGCTCAAGTACTGGGGTCCTTACCATCAAATTGGGAGAGCTGGATTGAGGTCTGGGCTCCTGACTTCCCCTGGCACAGCTCTAGCTGCTGTGAGCATTTAGAAGTAAATCAGTATAAGGAAGTGCTCTCTCCCTGTGTCTATCTTTCAAATAAATAATTTAAAGAAATGAACTAAGGAATGAAAATTCATCAGCAAAAACCAGAAATAAAAAAAGGAACATTATAAGTGTTGTCATAGGAATTGACTATAAGAGAGTGCTTTATACACCAACAAACTAGATAACCTAGATGCACAAAATCTACCACATCGAAACCATGAAGAAATAGATAATCTGAACAGTAAGGAGGTCGACTCAGAAACTTCCCAACAAAGATTTTAAAAAAAAAACAGTCTATAATGGCTTCACCAGAGAATTTCACCAACTCTTAAAGAACTGACACCCATCCTCAAACTCTCCAAAAAGTTAGAGACCAAGCACTTCCAAACTCATTCCAGGAGATATCCCTCATACCAAAGCCAAGAAATCTACAAACCAATATCCCTGATGAATATCGATCAGAAATTCTAAACAAAACACTAGCAAACAGGATTCAGTAGCACCTTAGAAGGTTTAACTATCCTAACCCAAGTGGGATCTACTCCTGGAATGCAAAGATGGTTCAATACACAAAAACCAAAGTAGTATATCAAAATGAAGGAGAAAAAAATAGTCAGTTGATGACCTAAACCAGTGAAGAGAAAGCATCTGAGAAAAAAAATCAACACACATTTATGGTAACAGCAACCAGGGGTAGAAAGAAACAACCTCAACAAAATAAAGGCCTTATATGAAAAGTTCATTCAATGATGAGAGATTGGAAGCTTTTCCTAGAAGATCATCACCACATCCTTAAATCCCACTATTGGGAGTCATAGAGCAATTCTACTATAAAGAAAAGGTATTCAAATTGGAAAGGACAAATTACATTATGTATGCAGATAACTTCATCTTATATGGTAGAAAACTTCTAAAGATTACACACAAAAAATCACAAATTCAGCCAAGTTTTGGAATATAAAACCCATACACAAAAATCAGTTGCATTTCTTTAAGAAATACAACATTTTTCTACCCATCAGGGCTTGCCTTTGTAAGCTGGAACTGGGGGCCAGAGCCCAATATCAAATACAGACACCTGGCTGTGGGATGCAGCTGTCCCCACCAGTGTCTCAATCCCTAGAGGAAACCCCAGCTCCTCATTGCAACTGTGGACTTCAAGGATGAATGATCCAAGAAGGAAATTAAGAAACTCATCCTGTTTGCATCAGCATAAAAAAGCACTTTGGAAGCTGAGCCAGAACCTTGGCCCTTGGTTGACCTCCCTCCAGTGGGGAGTGTACCTGACATGGCTATGACTGACCCAGGTCTTTGAATCATGAACCCTTTATTCCTCCTGGCTGTCATGTGCTCAAGAATGGCCCCAGCCACTCTAAGAATTGATCAAAAGCTTAGGTGCACAACAGTATCTGTGGAAGGCAATGCAGAAGAGACTATATGGCACAAATGGAAAAGGGAGGAAAAGTGTGTGGGAGAAGAGCATGGGCAATGATCAGACTGCATAATGGGAGCTCAAGTGGAGGGATGCCTGGCAGTCTGAGGGGAACAAACTTGGGCAGGTGACGAGCAGCAATCAAAGCCAGACACATCAGAAGATTACAGCGTTTTGTCAACCTCTGCTACCTCATGTCCGCACATCTGCAGACTGAAGAAAGACCATGTGACTCCCATGAAGGACCCAGGTCAGCATAATTCTCCTTGGGCTTTTAGCAACCGAGGCCCTAGGAGAACAAAGGTTCTGGGAAATGGGCACAATTGTCTCATGGAGCGAGTAGAACCTTCTGCGCTGCTCTTGGCCTCTGGGAAGTCAGGGCTATGATGGCAGCCTCATGATTCATGCCTTCCAGTTTAGTAAGGACAATGGAGGCTTGGGTTCTGAGGAGCTCTACCCAGAGGAAGCCATGGCTGAAGTACAGACCCAAGGATTCTGTGCTGACATCACTGACCTTGTAGTTATCCCTGGGCAGGAAAAAAACCCCTGTGAAGGCCCTGGCTGATACAGGCCAGCATCCTTGCAGTTCTAGAAATCAGGCCTTTAGGAAGCCCCCGACTGCAGCAGTAAAGACCCCGATCATGGTGTTCCTTCTGGTGGTTGGCCATGGTCTTCAAAGAACTCCTAGGATCACTAAATGCTGGATTATGGAAAACAGTTGGGGCTCTCACTGCTGCAAGAGAAACTCTCAACCATAAGATGACCACGCGGGACTGCCACGGCAGCTGGCAGCAGTTGGTGGCCATGGAGGGATTTGACACCAAAGTGGACCAAACCCCCTGTCATGTCAGCTGGGCGCGGGGAGACCGGGAGTGCTGCCTCCAACCACTCTAAATAGCTTAATGATATAGAAGACTCAGGTTTGAAGGTTAGACTTTAGAATCTTCATTTTTAACAAAATGTATAATGGCTTATTTCCTTGTAAAATTTTGATTTGGTTAAAAAAAAAACTTAGGAAGAAACTTAATAATGAAAATGTACTGTGGTCTAATTGTTTGTGTGTTTCTCTCCCACCCTCTACCAAATTCTCATGTGGAAACTGAATCACGAGGGGCAGTGTTAGGGGGCAGGGCCTTGGAGAAATGATTGGTTGGCTGGGTCCAGCCCTCATAAGTGGGATCCAAGTTGGCCAGCAGCTTGATTGTACATCTCTTTTATCCAAGTCACTCGAAATAAGGGTGTTAGTGTTCTACAGCAGTAATATACTACTTCTGGGTATACAAGTACATACACAAGAAATAAAAGGGCTCAGAAAGAGATCTTGTGCTCCTATTCATGGCAACACTGTACAAAACAGCCATGATAATGGAAGGAACTCAAGTGCCCACAGATGCGTGAACATAAGGTGCATAAGCACAGTGGAATATTATAGAGCCTAGAAAAGGAAGGAAGGAGTCCCATCCCTAATGCCCTTGACGGCCACAACACGAATGAACCCTAAGAACACTGTGCTGAGTGACATAAGCATATCATTGAGAGACCAACATGATGTGGCTCCACATCCATGAGACACCACAAGTGGACAAGTTCACAGAAACAGAAAGCCAAATGGCTGCCAGGGTCTGGTGGAAGAGGAAGTGGGGGTGATTTGATAGCTTTAGAGCTTCAGTTTACAAGATGCAAAAGTTCTAGAGATCCACTGTAGAACAATACTCAGTACTAAAATTACTTAACACTTAAATGGCTAGATGGTCAACTGGATTTTATGTGCTTAGCATAGATTTTTTTTTTTGTAATGTAAAGAGGTGTTTTTGAATGGTCTAGCTTGCACCTAAGTCTCAAGAAAAGGGGTTAGTGCTGGTAGAGAACAGGCTAGATGGTCTTCTGCCATGAGTTCTAGCACTAGTTACAAATCCAGGGACAGGAGTAGTGGTGAGCAGGTGGGTGGGTAGGTCTAGGGAGGGAGAATCAGTGATAAAGAAATCAAATTGTAAAGTAGAAAATACACCTCCTAGGAGTAAAATGCAGACCTACATCCTTCCATGTTTTACAGACCCCATGTTTGGTGTGAATCTATTAGCACATGCATAAGGCACACAGACTGCCATGAAGCCAATGTCCCCAGAAAATTGTACGGAGCTCTAAAGCAGGGAGGAGTTCCAGCAGCAGCCAGCCTGGAGAGTCCACGGACTCTGGGAAATGCAGGCGCCCAAGAGGCTTCAGGAGCTCCCATCCAACCTGAAATGGCCCGCCTCACCTCACAAGTTCTGGCATTTCCTTGTACAAGAAATAATTGGTTAATGGCAACTTTTCTCTAAGCAGAGTTAGGAAATTGACTTTTATTTCCAAGTCTTCTGCATTTGGCTAGTGTCAAAAGGCAGTAGTTGCAATTCAGTCTTTTAATCATGTATTCAAAGGCCAAAGTATCTGACAAAGAACAGCCATCAGAATGTTGGAATGAGTACCGACCACACAGCCTACAGCGGGGCTGGGCAATTTTCTCATTGGACGGCTTGTCCTGCACTACACTGTAACAAGTAGGCAGCAATCCCATTTTACAAGAAGGTCAATTATTCGCCTGAGGCCCACACACCTCGCAGGGAACAGACCCAGGACTCTGTCTGAAGCCTGCATTGTTTTTTACACATGTTGCTTCTTGAGACACAGAGAATCAGAAACAGAAAAACAGCCAGGCCCAGTCATTTGATTCCAAAGGGAAAGAGGTAAAATTTTCTCCCCTTTTCATCTATTTTACTCATTGCATGAAACGTGACGGTATGCTTCTATTTTTGTGCTTATCCCTTCTCTTAATAGAGACCGGTGCTACCTAAGTAGAAAATGTATTTATCAGATGCAGTAAGAACCCAATTCAGATGTTCCATTTATGTCGAACACCAACCTTTCTAGAAACAGAAGCTACTGGTCTTCATCTCACAGTCCATTTAACTAATCTCCCAACAAACCCTTCAACACGAGGGCTGCTGAATCAGTATTTTAAGACTAGAACCAAACAACTTAACAGGGAATACAGAGAAAAGCCTTTGACTTAAAAACACATATATTATTAATGTTCACTTGTCATAACAGAAAATATAACACATAGGTCCACTTTGCTATAACACCCAACAAGAGACAATCCTCGTCTCTTTCAGAACACTCAGACTACTCATTAACCTCAACACTTGAAAAGCTCTCAGCATCTGTTACTATGGAAACACATGCTCAGGTCCATCACTGCTTCCTAAACCCAAGGAGAGGCCCAACCTGCTTCCGCTGGAGTCCACACGGGGTTAGAAGGAAGGGCTGGGCAGGGGCTCCAGGAAGGTGTGATGCCGCTGAAGTCTGCTGAGAAGCTGCTGAGCCACAGGTTTGAATTCTGTTTCCCAGTAGAGCTTATGATAGCTTTTCAGGTCTTGGTCAAAATTGCCATCCAAGGCTACTTCTTCATCTGAATCAGAAAAAGTGAAATTGTAGCAATTATTGGGTGATGCAATAAATTTAACATATTGATGACAGGAGGGAAACTCATTTTGGACACCAACGTGACCCAAAACAGGACTTGGCGAGTAAAAGGCATTTTGTTGTATTGTATTGTTTACTGGGAGAGGTACTTCAGTTTCCTCTGGTCTTTACAGTCGTCTTTTTTTTTTTTTTTTTAAAGAATCACTCATTGTTTCATTGGAAAGGCAGATTTACACAGAGAGAAGGAAAGGCAAAGAGGAAGATCTTCAATCCACTGGTTCACTCCCCAAGTGGCCTTAATACTAAAATTACCGCAATACGAAAAGTAGCTGCAACAGCCAGAGCTGAGTAGATCTGAAGCCAGGAGACAGGGACTTCCTCTCGGTCTCCCACATGGGTGCAGTGTCCCCAGGCTTTGGACCATCCTCCACTGCTTTCCCAGGCCACAAGCAGGGAGTTGGATGGAAAGTAGAGCATCCAGGACACAAACCAACACCCATATGGGATCCCAGTGTGTGCAAGGTGGAGAATTTTAGCCACTGAGCCATTGCACTGGGCCCACAGTCATCTTTCAATTAGTATAGTTTGGTTTTCCCATTCAAAGGGACAATGATTTAAAAACAAAACAAACCAAAAACAAACAAACAAAAAGCTAGATTGAACTGAACTCTCCTTTAGGTGATTTGTGAGTACATCCAAAAAGTCAACTCACAATATCTCTTAAGAGTCAACGCATTGGAAGGTCATTTTCTTTGTGGGTTAGGACTGTATTACTTCCATGTTTGACAAGTTAACACAAAGGGAGTCAGGAAGCCTTCAGGGAAAGCCACTCAGACGAACTAGACACTTACAACTAATCAGAACCAGAGAACTTCCTTGGCTTAAGCTGGACAAGGGTTCTTTGGAAAGACAACCAACTGTTCCATCCCACTCTACACCAGAACTGGGAACACTGGGGAATCTGGAGAAACCCAAGGAGCATCAGAGAATCCCCAGTAATTCCCTGGACGATAGAGAAAAGCAATTCCTAAAAAGTAAAATGGACCTGATCCTGATACAAGGGTACCTCCCCGCAAATTCTGCAAACACCTGCAGAACAGCCAACACAAGTAAGAAGATAAGTGGCCAAGGAGGATTCTGGGCCTGCTGTCACAGTGTCCTGACTTGCGAATGCTGGTCACTCACCTTGCAGGGACAGACTCTTCTTGGCAGGTACACTGGCCTGCTGGCCAGAAGAGTGACTCTGCCAGATCCCAGGTGTGTGGCCCAAGGCAAGACTTCATGGATTTAAGTGCTAAGGCCTAAAATGACCACTGCTGTTACTACTAATTTGCAAACATTCCTCTTCGCCCAACCTCCCCTACTCCACCAGGGCCAACTGCTATCCTATTGTAAAATGCCTCGTTACTCGGCTGACACCACCTCCCCCTTGCTGAGTAAGCTATATGCTCTCCTGGGTACTCTGTGCCCACCACGCAGAATAAGATAAGGGAGTCTGGAATCTAGTTTGTCCCCCTCCCCTGCCCATAATCAAGTGGACAGCTACGCACCTCCAAGATAAGTTCCTCAGCAGATCTAAAAACTGTAGCCAGGCGCTCCACTAAGACTGCAGAAGCAAATTTTTGCCCAACCTTCCACCCCCAGAGAACCAAGCCCTCCCAGGGAAGAGATCAGGGACAGCAGGGAATGTCTTCAAAGTCCTCCCAGTTAGGCTGCTTCCCCGCCCACAAGGGCCCAAGGACCTGAGGCATTTCAGAGTTTCAAGTCATCTTTCTGCTCACTCCTTTCCTACTTGGAAACTGAATTCTTTGTTTCATATCTCTCCTTCCCAGGCTGCTAAGGGTTAAGCAGCTTGGCGTAAGTACTCAGGAGCCCTTTCCCAGCACACAGTTTTGTTTGATTTGGTGGTTTTAGCAAAACCTTTGCTGGATTTTGTTGGATTGCTTGTTTTAATCTAACACTTAGAATACGTTGTTCCTTGAGGTCCAGCCTTGAGAATAAATTAATCCAAACTTGGACTATGTTAATTCTAAATTGGGTTAGATAAAAGCAGCTACTAACTACAGGCAAGAGATATGCAGTTTGCAGTTCCGAAACCCATACTGAAAAAAATAGATTATTTTAAAAAGTTCCATATTACATGGCAGGCTAAAATTTGCAACTTGGACTGTAAAGAATACTGAAGGTTGATTCAACAATAAGAGATCTAAAATTTTCAAACTTTGTACTAGTAAGAAATATATTTCATCACGCCTCTTGAATATACATGTGTACACATATTTTTATGTACCAAGAGCCAGCAAACACTTCACAATAGTTTCCTTCCCATCTGTAATATACTCTAAGACTGTCCTCCTCCGATACTTGCTTTTTCAAATATATTGGTCACAACCAACTACAAAGATTTCCTAACCCAGAGTTCGAAAAGCCATGGTTTAGACGAACAACTGTGCTCCAGCTTTCTTTGCACACGCCAGCTTTGCAAATAGTAAAATGTGGGGCAAGATATCAGAAATGATTGCAAGACCCAGAACAACATGCGTGTTCGCAACATTCCCATACAGTCCTCCTTGCTGCTTTAGTGTCCCATGTTATTGATAAAAGCTTCCTCCTTGCACTGGAGATCTAGCTTGCTGATCAGTTCCAGGCAGCCATGGGAGGGATCTGTGGTTGCCTCCGACACCCTGAAGAACCTGGTGACGCTTTGGCTCAGTCCTGAGGGCGTGACCCTCCGAATGGAACAAGAGGCTCCACAGTATGTACCCTGTCACAAAATCTGGGTACCACGGGCATGGAGCTGACAACAAACAACACACAGTGACCCAGTGCTCCTTGTATTTCAAGTGGTAATAACTTGCACGCACCAATCCTAAGTTGCCACTGCTCACAAGAGGCTCGTGGCAGATGCCAGAGCCCATTGGTTAGAGCATGTGGACCCACACGCCGCCAAGGAGTTTGTAAGGAGTTGACAGTGGAGCTCCCAGAATGCATTGTCTTAGAACCACTTTGCAGAGAGCATCCCCACACTCTCCTTTTTCTCCCCCCAGCTCCCTAATCAATCCACAAAACAACGATGAGGTCATCTGTGTCACATTACTATCATCTCCTTCCTTAAGCCCATGCTTTTGGGATTTGACAGCTCATCATTTTTGTCAAGGAACTGAAGTTGAAATACTATCTCACTCACATGTCCATTTCACTTGCCCAAGTCCTTAGGGTCATGAGGAGGTAGAGGAGTTCTTGGCCTTGAGATATTGCCTGTCAGCCCCCCCACCCCTCTGTGGTACTGTGCTGGATTTTGTTATTCAGATCACAGCCTCCTTGCAGGGGGTTGGGAAAGAAGGGGGCGGGTTGGAGTGAGTGTCCTGTGTGATGAGACAGCAGAGAAACTCAGATCCAAAAGCATGGTTTTGCCACAGTGTTACTGTGGGCGGAGTCACCCCACCCTCCTGGAGCCACTGTCTTTTATCACCTAGCCAACGACCTTGCAGAGAGTATCTGAGAACACAACGGCCCTGCCTTTAAAAGGCAAAAGCAAACAGGGACCACTAACTGGTCACCAAGCCACAAACTGCTCTGTGCCAGGCAGCATCCCAGAGCAGGGGAAATAAGATAAGCCTTACAAAATGATAACACAGGAGAAACTGCAACATTGGTGATCTGTTAACCATTGAAGTTTAGATTTCATGTGACCTGACTGTCTCTGTAAGCTTGACAGGCTGTAGGAGAAGGGCCTGCAGGGCCATCAGGACAGACAGCTTAGGACAGACAGCATGGGTCAAGACCCTGAGGTTGAAGAAGCAAAGCCTAGGACAAAAGCTGGCTACAAGAGAAAAGTGGGAGTGGAGGAGTAGGCAACAGGCCCACCCCACAAAGCCCCTACTGGGTGCACTGGTCTCCGCTGAGCAGCTGGCCATGCTTTTTGCCCCTTCTAATGGGTAGTGAGACACGTGGCCCACTGTCCCTGTTACTCAGGGTAGACTGACATAGACTCAGCCGAGACAGGAAGCTGCAGACTGCCCTGCTGGTGTCTTGGAGGTAGCTGTTATAGGCCCTACACTACCAGGCAACAACCCACCGGGACAACTGCTATCTTTGCCCTCAACAGGAGGCACAGAAAGGTGCAGCAGCAAGGACACAGAGGCACACACACGGGATGGGACAACACATACCTTGGAGCAGCTGGAGCCCTTGATCAAGGGAAGCCTAGCAGGACAGAAGACTGAGCCTGGAGATTGAGCAGAGCGGGGTCACCAGAAGGCTTGTGCCCCAAGATGGAGATGGTGCCTGCTACTGAAGGGTTCCTGGGGCAGGGGAACAGGAGGGGTGGAGCGACCTCAGGCTCCCATGCGCCTCCCATCCTCCCCAGTAGGCTTTAGGCCTCCTTCCTCAGAGCACCCTTCCCTTACCCGCTTTCCTGCCCAGGGCAGGTGAATCCTGGTTGGCATCAGAGGCTGCACCCAGGAGGTTGACAGAAGCCCCAAGGCACAGAGGGGCCAAGCCCCAGGTTTGCTTGCTGAAGTTCCCCACCTGAGGTCAATCTTGTAGGTTCTAGGGTTGGGAGTGGCAGGCAGGTGCTGGGAAAGTGAATTGGGGCCACCTGAGGGTGCACGGCTGCCCGCGACCTCATGTTCTGTGCAGACTGTGGACTTCAATGCCTTTAAACCAGGCTCGTTTTTCTGTGTCAAGTTGGCAAGCACGCGCACACGTACATACACACACATACATTCCATTTGCCTAGAAAAAGATAATTTCACACCTGCATAACCAACCCGATTCTCTCAAGTGACCTGGCAGTCACAGTTGCTATTTGTAAGTCACTGGGAAGTTCTGCAAAGCTCTTGAGGCAAGACTGGAGGGCCTGGTGCCTGCCGGCCCAGGGCCAGGCCCTCAGGATGGTCCCCTTCCCACCCTAACATCCTTTACAGGTGAGCATTCACCACCTCACTAGGTGGTGGCAAAGATGGACTCACAGAGGTGGACCCCAAGGTTTAAGCACCTGCTATGGATCCAGTGAGGACTCGGACCTGGCCTGACAAGTTGCCTGCTGTCAGGCTCACAGCATGCTTGGGTGAGCTTGGGGGCAGGACCCAAACTCCGAAGTCCCATTTTAGAGACCAAAATGGAGCCTCTATGACACGCTTTGGGACAGAGACATCTCCTGGGCCTTTCCGGGTCTCCCCACCTGGCCTACCCGAGCTACCACGGTGGGTAGCAACGGTGGGCATGTTCTGCCACTTTGAGAGAATTATGGAGAATGCCTAGCTGCTTGACTGACCCAATCATTAGGTTTAGTCTGAAGCTAAGATGAAAAATCTGTCCTAAAAAAATAGCTGCTTTTCTCTTTTAATAGAAGAAACAGTTCTCTTTCCTTTGTATCAGCAATCTCCTACGTTTTGAGGATAAGAACCAAACATACCCAAATGGGGATAATGCCAGACAGCTCAGCACACTCCACCCCAAGCCCGTGGTAACGACTGTGACTGCTAATGCTCATCAGATATACATTCATTTGAAAGCACGGCTCCCTTAAGAGTAGCTCCTGGCCATCTTTCCCCAAGTGAAACAGTGTCTAAGCACTTTAAAGCAACAGAAATACATTTATGTTGAGAACTTGTATTAATGCAGTCTACAGAAAATGCAAAAAAAAAAAAAATATCACAACAGTGCCCAGCGAATTCAGAGTCCCTCTGTTCCCTTTCTAAATAATATCCAGCCTCTTCCAGAAAGTTCCAAACTGCAATTCTCATCAACATACTCTCGTTGCTTACTGATTGCGGCCATCCACATTGCATCACAATCTTTGTCCACACAGGTCACAGAAAAACAACTTTCTTAACCTTACACAGACAAAACTCCCAGGCTATCACTCATGCATCTTACCCAAAAATGAAGACAACAGGTCCAAGAGTTTATTGGCATCTTCATCTCCAAAACACGATGAAGCATTTGTGATATTTTCACTGAAGTTCCATAAGGTTTTGCAAACCAAGCAGGCCAGCTGCCAATCAGTAGGACCAAAATCTCTTAAACAATCCACTAACCTGTAATAATAATAACAAAAAGCCAAGTTAGAAAGTTAGCAGATTGTAGCACCGGTGTCATGGCATAGCATGTTAAGCTCAGCTGTTGCTGGTGCTTAATTTGTTGGTTATGGCTGCTGCTCCACTTCCCATCACCTCTCTGCTAATGCACCTGGGAAAGCAGCAGAGGCTGGCCAAAGTGGTCGGGCCCCTGCACCCACGCAGGAGACCCAGAAGAAACTTGTGGTTCCTGGCTCCAGCCTGGAACAGCCCTGGGTGTTGTTGCCATTTAGGGAGTGAACCAATGGATAGAAGACCCCTCTCTCTTTCTCCCTTTTATCCTCTCTCTCAGTTAACTCTTCCTTTCAAATAAATAGTAATTCTTAAAAAAAAAAAAAAGGTACCAGGTTAGAATGTACCTGTTTATACTTTTAGCAGGATGCAGATTATCCTTCCATGTAATCTCATACATGTAACATATAACTCTCAGTCATCATTTAAAATAACATGGTACAAACAAATGCAAGGGGCAGAAAACTTGGGGATTCTGTCAAGACTCAAATGGAACCAGCGTGGGGCTTCCAAATGCCAAGCTGCTGACACCCCGCAGAGCCCAGGACAACAGAGGGCCAAGGCTGCCCAGCCAAGGGTGACCTCTTGGTCCCAAGCAAAGGTGCTGCACCCTGGAACTTACTTTTTAATGCCGCCTCCTTCTTTCAGCAGGCCGCGCTTGTCTTTCTCCACGGTGAGATTGAGGAGGACGCCACAGGCAGAAAAACAAACATCCTGATGCTTGGCGTCCAGCAGGGCAATCAGGAACTTGTGCACTGCGAGGCAGAGAACACACACAACTCAGGGCCGCTAGCTACACCTTGTTTTAACAAATGGCCGAGAGGAACTGGGGAATGGGTAGCCAAATAGGGACCCCTGCTCCATTCACTCTGTTCACTCCTGCTCCGTTCCCCAGGCTCTCTGGCTCCAGACGCTGCTATCACCTGCTTTATTACGGCAATGATGGAGTCCTGTTGGGGGCCCTAGCAGCAGGGCGAGGAGAGACTCAGGTGCTGCTCATTCAACCCCTTAGCTTCTGGCCTCCCAGGCCCTTTGTAAACCACCAGCACTGGCTCTTAGCCTGCAGCCTGGAGGAGGGGTGTAGGCTCCCAGGCTGGGAAGTCCAAAAACCTTGATCCGGACGCTGGAAATTGACCTGCAGCAAGGCAGGGTAGGGACATATTGGATAGGTCAGGCCCTCTTGCTCCTAGGAAATGGAACCAGCTGTCCCCTTTGGTCTTTCTGCAGTTGACAGGAGTGAAGGATAATGCTTGGCAGAGAGTGGGTAAATCGTATGCTCCATCCTTTCCTGCTCAGAGCGCCTACCATGTGGCTGCCCTGTTCTGGCCTTGGCCCTTGTGACCTGGTCAGGCAGTGAGGTTGGCCAAGGCTACAACACCCTGTGGTCCACTGGATACCTGCATCCTAGTTCAGATTGCTGGTTCCAGGCCCTTCTGAGCCAGCCCCTGCTTATGCATCTGGGAAAGCAGTAGAAGATGGCCCAAGTACTTGGGTTGTTGTACTCATACAGGGAATTCAGATGGAGGCTCTCAGACCTGCCTGGCTCAGCCCTGGCTATTGAAGCCATCTGGAGAGTGAACCGGAAGACGAGAGATCACTCCCTCTCATTCTCTCACTCTATAACTCTGCCTTTCAAGTAAACTCATCAACTCAATCTTTTTTTTAAAAAGATATATTCCCACATGTAATATTAGAGACATACAAAGGCTAGAGTTAGGAAAAACAGATGGATAATTGCTTGTTAAAGTTTAAGAAGTAGGGCCCAGTGCGATAGCATAATGGTAAGGGCCTCGCCTTGAACACCCCGGGATCCCATATGGGCGCCAGTTCTAATCCCGGCAGCTCCACTTCCCATCCAGCTCCCTGCTTGTGGCCTGGGAAAGCAGTTGAGGACTGCCCAAAGCTTTGGGACCCTACACCCGCGTGGGAGACCCGGAAAGAAGTTCCTGGCTCCTGGCTTCAGATTGGCACAGCACCGGCCATTGCAGCCACTTGGGGAGTGAATCATCGAATGGAAGACCTTCCTCTCTGTCTCTCCTCCTCTTTGTACACCTGCCTTTCCAATAAAATAAATAAAAATTTTTAAAAAACTTTAAGAAGTAATACATTATTTTCAAAATCTTATTTGGTATATGACAATATACACAATTAGTTTTTTCAACTAGAAATGAACAAAATCTTACAGATTGAATTTTATGACACAGGTAAACTCTTAAATGTACAGCTCCTCATTTTCAAGTAAAATTTCTACTTTATCCTATTACTGCAGGAATACATGCATGAATACAAGCAACAGTTTTACATATCTTAAAAAACTTACAGCAATGACATTATGCTGTAATTCCTCTCACCATTAGTTGTTGGCCTTTTTTTTAAATTTAGATTCATTTTTATTGAAAAGGCAGATTTACAGAGAGAAGGAGATATATAGAGAAAGATCTTCTATCTGCTGATTCATGCCTAACCAGCCTCAATAGCCAGAGTTGAGCCGGTCTAAAGCCAAGAGCCAGGTGCTTCTTCCAAGTCTCCCACAGGGGTGCAGGGTCCCAAGGCTTTAGGCCATTCATGGCTGCTTTCCCAGGCCACAAGCAGAAAGCTGGAGGGGAAGTAGAGCAGATAGGACTCGAATCGGCACTCATATGAGATTTCCGAGCTTGCAGGGTAAGGATTAGCCAATTGAGCCATTGTGCCACCTCCCCACACCCAACTTCATTACATGCCTTAGGTTGATGCCTGTTGCTACATAAATGTCTGATGTAGCTACTTTAATGGCTGCATGGATACACCGGACATAGTTCTACACTTCCCTATTACAAGCAAATGTAACACATGATCTGGCACACAAAGACTGTCCCTGGAGCATTAACAAAAGATTCACTGTATATTAACTGTATATTGTATATTAACAAAATATACACTGCCTGGGACACCCATGCACCCTGTGCTGGGAGTTTCACATAGATTGGGATAAAAAGCCAGAAGCAAGCATCAGACTGTAATGGCCCAAACATTCATAACAACCTAACTGGGGCTCAGCGCAGCAGACTGCTAGCTAAATCCTCACCTTGCACGCTCCGGGATCCCATACAGGATGGGATAGTTCATATCACAGCTCCCTGCCTGTGGCCTGGGAAAGCAGTAGAGTACAACCCAAAGCCTTGGGACCCTGCACCCGCACGGGAGACCTGCCCGGCTTCACATCAGCTCAGCTCTGCCATTACGGCCACGAACAAGTGGACAGAAGATCCTTATCTTCTATATTTCCTTCTCTCTATATATCTGCTTTCCAATAAGAAAATAAATCTTTTAAACAACAAAACAAAAACTACCACCAACTGGGCATTGATTAGAAGCGTGTGTGCATGAACTTGACCGTCCTTAACTTACCATTGTGCTGTACGATGAAATTACAGACATCGTGGTCCTGGGAGAGGTTTCCAAGAACACGCACAGCCTCCAGGACTCCGTCCATGTTGTCACTCACAAGTAGCTTTAAGAGCACTGGATGTGGGGCAGAGAAATAAAAGGAATACGTTTGCCTTTTAGCTGAAATGCTAATGGAAACCCACATTTTACTAGATGCTGACAACTGACAAGCAGAGTAAAATTAAAAATGACAATGAAACACAAACTGTAAGCAATTTTCCTAAGAAATGAAGACATGAATTCCCCCCACCCACTCCCAGCTTTTCATTTCCCCATCTCCCTCAATTCTCAGATCAGAACTCCTGAGATACTAGTGTCAAAAAGTCAGAAAAACATAAACAAAAAACCTGAATGCCTCCAGTTCTGAGTCTGCACAATAAAGAAAACAATTTTTCAACAAGTGTGCCTTTATCCAAAGCCAGGGGCTAGCCTCACATTCTGCAATATAGAGCTTTTGGTTTTGGATGGCGGAATTCTTCACTTGGTAGAAAGATAGGTTGTTGATCGTTGCCGTGGTATTGATCACCAACTCCTCGCAGTCATCAAGCGACTTGGATTCTGAAACCAATAAACAAGGGAGGCAAAGATTCATTGCCAGAGCAGAAACCATGACAACGATCTCCCAGACCTCTCCTGCAGGCAAATGTACCGAATGCAAGGGACCCCCACTCCTGGCAAGGGTGGGTGGGAAGCCCATAACCAACGATGACTGGAAAAGCCATTTTGGCCTAGGACCTTCGTCTAAAAGAAAGTCACCTCAGTCAGCTGAAGCATCTCTGACCCCATCAGCCTCGGGTCCTGGGCTGCACCATGCCTACCGCCCTAGAGAAGGATCCTTGGGTCATGGTCCACTCATATCCACCCATTCATTACCTGTCTCCCCAACACAAAAAATCTGCTTCTTTCTCACCTCCTCTGCTATCTGCCAGGTCCATCTCTCAACTCCTGTTGATCTCTCTCCTTCCACTTTTGCCCTAAGTCAACTCCTAACATTGTGATCCTTTTAAAGCAACTCAGAGAATGCCATTCATGTCTCATAACCTGCCAACAGCTCCACCTTGCTTGGCCTGCAGAGCCTAACTGGGCTGCCCCAGTGTGTGCCTCCCTCACCTCATTGGCTGCTTCTGCCCCAGGCCACCCAGGCCAAGCCCCTCACTCTCCTTGCCGGTTTTTTGTTTTTGGTCTTGGCTTTTTAATGCCTCAGCAGGATCCTGCCTGGGAAACCATGCGGTGCTCTCTTTCTTTTCTCTGGAAATATACTCTTCCTCCAGGAATCTGCTCAGCTCAACTGCTCATGTGCTTCAAGCATTTGCATTAGATGCAAGTTTGCTGTCTATACATCCAACACCACCTTATGTAAAACAGCTGCTGCTGATCTTCCCTCTCCTCTCCCTCCCCATCCCCCAGGCTTCCCTTGTCCCCATTTCACCCCTGACATGAACTGTGTTTAATTAATGCTCATCTGCTGGCTCTGATGTGTTGGCTGCTTAAGGACTTGGGACGGGTCTGCTTTGTTCACTGCGGCATCCCCAGAGTCTAGAACAGCGGCAGGCTGGCATCTGGTGGGGACTCAACAGACAGTGGCTGAGGACAAGAATGAACAAAAGAAATGGAGCCAGAATCCTGCTGCTTCCACTTACCCCTTGCTGTGTGACCTTACTCAAGCTGGTTAACCCCCTGGACCCACTCTCCCTGGTTCTAACACCGGAGGGAGAACTGCCTCTTCATTTCAGATGTGTTGTGAAGCCCCAGCTGATGACACTAGATCTTGGGCAGTGTTTTTTGTTTGTTTGTTTGTTTGTTTGTTTTCCAGGGGGTGTCTGTTTTCCCTCCTGTTTGTTAAGAGTATTTATTCATTTTCCCAGTTGATATGGAGGCAGGCTCTGAGGTGTCTCCACCTCTGGCAGGAGCCCAGATTTGGGCATGGCATGTGCCATCTGTGGCATGAGGGTGAGTACTCATGGCTTCAAGCTATTTGTACATACAGCAGCAGGCACTTCGTGTGTATGCATTCAATCCCTGTAAGTTCATTACAAATACTGCTTTAGATGCACTGACCAGCATGTACAGCCTCGGTAAGTAATTCTCTGAATTGCCTCTGTCTCAGCGGCTTCTTTGGGCTATTGCATCAAAATTCATCAAGTCCTGAGGCTAGAACCAACCACAATTCTTTTTCTCACAGCTCTGGTTGTGGGCAGTCCCAAGATGAGGGTGCCAGCAGGGTCTAGGTCTGGGGAGGGCTCTCCTCCCAGCTCAGAGAGAGTTGTTCCTTCCCAGGTCCTCACATGGCAGAGAGAGAGATGGAGAACTCTGGTGTGTTCCTGTAAGAGCTTTAATCCAACCACGAGGACTCCACCCCATGGCTTCTTAGGGCCTGTCCCTGCGAAGCCACAACCCACATGGGCACAGGTTCAGGTAGCAGTTGCTTTACTACTGATCCACCTCCCTTGTAACGCACCTGGGGAAAGCTGCAGAGGATGGCCCAAGTGACAGAGGGAAAAAGGAAAGGTGAGCTGCAGCGAGGACTGGGCGAGAAAGCAGTCATTAATAAGCCAAGATGAGAGCCTGGCCAGACGCTGACCCTCAGGCAACTTGATCTCAGACTCCTAGCCCAGATCACATTTCTGTCGTGGCTTTGGTTTTGGTTTTTTTTAAAGATTTATTTTTATTATTATTATTTTTTTATTGGAAAGGTGGATATACAGAGAGGAGAGACAGACAGGAAGATTTTCCGTCCAATGATTCACTCCCCAAGTGAGCGCAACGGCTGATGCTATGCCGATCCAAAGCCAGGAGCCTCTTCTGGGTCTCCCACGCGGGTGCAGGGTCCCAAAGCCTTGGGCCGTCCTCGACTGCTTCCCCGGGCCACAGGCAGGGAGCTGGATGGGAAGCGGGGCTGCTAGGATAGAACCGGCGCCCACATGGGATCCCGGGCATGCAAGACGAGGACCTTAACCACTGCACCACCGTGCCGGGGGCCCCCTTTTTTTTTTCACCTCAAGCAGACACAAATCAATCTGCAGCACACAGCACAAGAGTGACCCAGTAAATAGCTCTGAGGTTGAACAGCAGTCCCCGGGGAAAGCCTACTAGAGATGGTAAAACACCATTTCTGCTTGTCATTACATTTTCTCCCACACTGAAATTTTTCAAAAAGATTTATTTATGTTTATCAGAAGGGAGATTTACAGACAGAAGGAAAGAGGCAAAGATTTTCCATCTTCTGGTTCACTCCCCAAATGGCTGCAACAGTCAGAGCTGAGCCAATTCCAAGCCAGGAGCCAGGAGCCTCTTCTGGGTCTCTCATATGGGTGCAGGGTCCCAAGGCTTTGGGCTGTCCTCTACTGCTTTCCCAGGCTACAGGCAGGAAGCTGGATGGGAAGTGGAGCAGCCAGGACATGAACCAGCACCCATATGGGGTGCTGGTACTTGCAAAGGGAAGCAATTATGCCCCTTCCCACAATGAAATCTTAACTGAGTCTGGGTAGTAGCAGACAAACCAATGACCCTGGAGTGGGGTCAGTCTGCCTACACACCAGCACACAGTGGCACCTACTACAAGTGACAGGCCTCAGAAGAGGAAGTGGTATGCAAGGGGTTGGACTGTGTCTCCCCACCCAAAACTCCTGCATGGATACCTCACCTTCATAATGATGGCATGAGGGGCCTGGTACAATTGTGTAGCGGCTAAAGTCCTTGCCTTCAATGTGCTAGGATCCCATATGGGCACAGGTCCTAATCTCCATGGCCCTGCTTCCCATCCAGCTCCCTGCTTGTGGCCTGGGAAAGCAGTCAAGGACGGCCCAAAGCCTTGGGATCCTGCACCTGCTTGGGAGACCCAGAAGAAGCTCCCAGTTCTTCTGGTTCAGCTCCAGCCATTTTGACCACTTGGGGAGTGAACATCAGATAAAAGACTTTCCTCTCTGTCTCTTCACCTCTCTGTGTATCTGCCTTTCCAGAAAAAAAAAAAAAGAAAGAAAGAAAACAAAACAAAAGAAAAAAGATGATAGTATGTGAAGATAGGACTTCTGAGAGCTTCTGTGAGGTCAATGGAGGTCATTGGGTGGGGTCCAAGGTGAACAGGAAAGGAGAGGGGAAGGGGAGAGGGGGAGAGGGAGAGGGAGACACATGGACACCTGCCATCTGCTCAGTGCTCGCAGCTGGGAAAGGCCAAGTGAGCACACAGCTGCTGCTCAGTGCTCGCAGCTGGGAAAGGCCAAGTGAGCACACAGCTGCCTGTAAGCAGCTATCCCTATGCCGGCAAGTGCCCCTACAGGTGTGCAAAATCTACTTCTATGTCAGTGGTGATCCAAGGGGCAGGATGGGACCCTTAGCTAACGACTAGGACACAAATCACCGAGGACCCGACACTGGACAAGCAGGTGGACGGAACCCAGGGCAGATCTGGCATCTGAAACTGTACTGTTTCCTTAAAAAAAAAAAAAAAAAGGCAAAGACAGTCTTTTCCTTCAGACAAAGCCTGGGACTGGCAGCACAGGACAGGTTAGGGGGCACTCACCCAGCGTGCTCACAAGCAGGCCCACAAGGTGTGGATCACTGGCCAGCGAGGGGCCCACACGCGGGTGGATGGCCAGGTTGGCCAGCACGCGGGTCAGCTTGATGAGCACAGCCTCGGCTTCGGATGGCAGGCTGGGCGTGGTGGTGGTGGTGGCCATGGTGGTGGTGATGGTGGCGGAGGATGCCCGCACAGCTGTCGTCTGCGCACAAGGCACGTCGAGGCGCTGGAAGGCATGGAAGAGCGACAGCAGGGTCTGCATGCACCCGCGCTCCCGGCACAGCTGCTCGCGAGCTGGGTCACTCTTTGCTGTCAGGTTGCCAAGGATGAACACCACGCGGATGACTAAATCCTGCAGAGGACACAGAGCAAGTCGGGTTAGCGGCTGACCCAAGAGGGTTGGGGCGCGTCTCATCTATTCACCCTCTTAACAAAGAGCGGAGGGTGGTGCGTCTGCCTTCTGCCACCCTGTCCAGCATTTCAGAGAATACAAGATTTGAAGGCGCAGACAAGGACTAGGAAACTCAAAGCCCCTGGGGTTCTGGACACAAATCCCCTGCCACAACCCTCCTCTCCATTTTCTTCAGACAATAATTTAGTTGAGTGGGATAACAGTACTAAGAATAAGTTGTATCAGTCTGTGCCAACACACACAGCTTTCTTGAAAGGGAGTGAGAGAAATTTTCATCCCTTGGTTCACTCTCCAAATGGCTACAAAGGGCAAGAGCAGGCCAGGCAGAGGATGAGAGCCAAGAACTTCATCCCAGTCTCCTTCATGGGCGGAGGAGGGATGAGCCCTTCATTGTACCAGCAGGGAGCTGGACAGCCGAGTGGAGCAGCCAGGTCATGAACAACTGGTTGCCCAAATGGGATGCAGGTGGTAATTTAACTTGTCATGCTAGAGCACCTGCTCTGGAAAAGGGGGCTTCCTTTAAGGAACACTTCCCAAAGGCCTGCAACTGTCCTGGGGCTCATATTAACTGGCATAAACTAGGGACTGTATGGGAGGAAGGGCAGTGTGGCAGCTAACCAACAGGCAGCATGGGACACGTTCATTTTGGAGTGGCTGGCTTTCCGACCTTATCCAGCTTCCAGACCCTGGGGGACGACAGGCAATGGCCCCCTGTCACCCACCTATGGGATCTCAATGGAGTTTCTGGCTCCTGGCTTTGAGCTGGTCTGACTCTTGCTGTTGCAGCGTGGGGAGTGAAATAGTGAGTGAGACATCTCCCTGTCTCTCTCTCTCCTTGCTCCTTGTCTTATTTTCAATGAAAAAAAGAAAAAACTGGGGCTTGGAGAAGCTGTGCAGGTCACAGTGGCTGATAAGGGCAGAGCCAGGATTTGAACCCAGGAAGACTCTGACTCAACAGTCCTTTTAGCTCCCACTCTGTCTCCCAGGCATGGTGTCATCTGCCTTATCTTCTTGCCTTCTTGCAGAAGAGCTGAGAAATGATCTTTTAAAATGCAAATATGCTACTCCCACTGGATGATCATACACCTGACCTGTGGTTTATCAAGTCAGTACCCTCAGTGGACAGAAGGAAAGGCTTCCGAGGGGAGAGGGCTGAGCGGATCCAATCCAACCTGGGGACAAAGCAGGGTGTGGCACAGAGTGCTGAGGATAGAGGACCAAGGCTGGCGTTGGGACTCTGCCAGTGCTGGCTTATACCTGCTTGTCTGTGTGCATGCAAAAACATTCTCCCTGATAATGACTGGCTGAGGAGCAGCAAGGTTGCTGGTCACACTGCTGGGCACCATTTACCAACACCAAAAACAGACTGAGCCAGACTACCAGAGAGGGAATTTCTGAAAACTTTTCAACTCCTCGTATTTACCCAATCACAGCAACTGTTGGGTTAGGGCGACCTGCACCTGACTGTGCCTGGGAACTAAGAGTGTTCACCCTGAGCTCACTTTCGAATGTGAGCTTGTTGGAGGAAATCCCCCATACATAAGCATGGAGATACAGCTGACACCATGGCACAGCAAGCTAAGCCTCTACCTGTGGCGCCGGTATCCCATGTAGATACTGATTCAAGTCTCAGATGTTTCACTCCTGATTCAACTCCCTGCTAATGTTCCTGGGAACACAGCAGAAGGTGGCCCAAGTCCTTGGGTCCCTGCACCCATGTGAGAGACCCAGAAGCTCCTGGATCCTGGTTTCAGACTGGTTCAGCTGTGGCTGTTGCTCCCATTTGGTGAGTGAACCAGTGGATGGAAAATTTCTCTCCCTCTCTATCTTTCCTTCTCTCTATATAACTCTGCCTATCAAATTTTAAAAAATAAGAAAAAATAAATTTCAGAAAAGAAAGAGTTCATAAGCTATGTAAAAAGGCAGGGGTAGCCCATGTGGGGGAACGGCAGACTTCAGAGGCTGAGCCAGAAGCTGGATACACAGGATGTCCAGGAGTTCCTGCCCTGGAGCTTGGTGACCTGGTTTCTCACCCAAGACAGGACGTAGCCTGTTTGTGCCTCTGTCACCTCATTTGCAAATGGGGAGAAGACTGCTTCATGAGAGCAAGCAAGAAAAGGTGGGTACAGCACAGGTAAGGGCTGAGTGAGGACTGTGGTACCACTCATGTCTCCTTGGCACATTTGCCATAAAGAGCCAGCTGTGGCAGCAAGAGTGAAGAAAAGAGGGTGGTGCCTAGGGTGACCAGCAGTAAGTCTGAGTTTCAACCTTGAAGTGGCTATGAACTTCAGGATATGCTTTGGGAAGACTAGGAGGGACCCGAGACAAAATGCTTCCTTGGGGACTGGAGCCCCCTTGTCATTGTTTGAGCACTTCTTGGCTCCCTAAAGATGCAGGCTTACTATCTAAAACAAGGCTATGCGTGCCATGAACTGCCCCCTTGCTGTCAGCATCCTATACCCAGTCCAAGTCCCAGCTGCTCTGCTTCTGATCCAGCCCCCTGCTGATGTGCCTGGGAAAGCAGCAGAGGAGGGCTCAAGAACTTGGGCCTCTGCACCCATGTGGGAGACCCAGATGGAATTCTAGGCACCTGGCTTTGGCATGGATGGACTGGGCTCTGACCTTTGCAGCCATTTGGGGAGCGAACCAGTGAATGGAAGATTCTCTCTCTCTCTCTCTCTTACTCTTCCCTCCCTTCTCCATCACTCTGCCTTTCAAAAAATCATCATCATAATAAAATCAAAAAGACTTTCTGTAAATGAAAAAATAAAAAGAACACTCATGTCAGTTGTGATCCTGGAGTCCCACTTGACATTGGTCCCCATAGCTAATCCTGATGGCAAGGCCTCTCCTGGCTCTGGAAGGGAGGTATCAACGTGGTGGCTTCTCCCACGCCCCAGTCAGACCCCATGGGAAGGCAGATAAACAGCAGTCTTCCAACCAGATCAGAGGGGATTTCCAAGCACCAAGTTCCTTGCAGGGAAATTCCATTTGACAGTTCCCCAGCCAAGGACAACGATGATGATGAGCAAACTTTTCCTGTGGACTTCTGTGGTTTCCAATGAAAGCCACTTGACACACGTGCTGCCACTGGACAACAGTCGTCACAGCAATACCGGAGTTGATGAATGGTGGCAGCAGCTCAGACACGGCGCTTCGGGTCTGCCAGGCCTTGGATCCAGCAAATGACCCAGTTTGCGCGGATCATCGCTTTCACTCCTGCGGTCTGGGCAGAGCCGCTGGCTCTTTCAGTCAGAAAGCAATCTTCCCCCCACATGGTCACGTTAACCGTTTGGGGATTTCAGTGTGTTCCCAAATGGTGCTCCTTCACCACAAAAACACATTCAACAAGACGGGAGGGACATCAGGAGCGATTTTAAGTGACTTCTGGAGCATTTCAGAAACACTCTTAGTTCTTTGGCGAGATCATCAGCAGCACTAAAGGGGCCATCTCAGTTCTGCTTCACCTCTACCTACCCTCTGCCTCCCACCCAGGGGGCTTCGCTGGCCCTCAAGTGCCATCTCCACCTGTCACTGCTGAGTGCCTAGGCGAATTCCCGCCTGGGCCCTGGCTGCTGGTAACAGCAGATTTCCTTCCTAACCTCTCTGGGGATCCCTCCCCCACCTCACTCATGGGGTACAGCCTGATTCAGCCTGAAGTGGGGGAGCCATGGATAACCCAGCCCAAGCCAGAGGGCAGGAAGCATTAACACTGCCCTAGTACCTCTTTCCCTACGCTCTGTGGGGAAGAGGAGGGGGAGACGCCTGGCAGTAGCAGTGCCAACTGCAGGATGGCCTGCGAAGAGTGGCAAATGGGGCGACAGATTGCGCGTGTGCAGTACCAGCCTTGCAGCAGCTGCCATGCTCACTGCTTCTGTCCGCTGGTCGTGGCGGGTGGCCAGTGGCCAGGGCGTCCTCTCCTTTCACCTCTCTTAGCTCCGTCCTCTCCATGCACCCAGGGAGCCCGGTCCCAAGCCAAAATAGAAGCAGCCTCCCCGGGAGCTTGGCAGGGGTGGCGTTTTCTCCTTCCCACGCTGCTGCCGCCCGTTGGAGCTGCTCTTGACTTTTCTGAAATTCTGAGGCAGAAGGCTGAGAAAGAGGGATTTACAAGGTCCCTTTAACATGCTATGGGTGGCCTTGGCATGCAATTTTGCCCTCCAGGTCCCCCTTTTATCCTTGTCCTCCCTTCCCCAGAACTGAGCTCTGTCTTGGACTGTATCACAGAGAGATAATCCATTATACTGATCCAGCTCAGGTCTGCAAAACATCACTTAGTTCAATATCCTATAAAGATCCTCATGGATCGAGCCAAGACCAAGGTCACCCATTTGCAGAGCCCACCAGTTCCACGACAGAAAGCCATTTCTTGCCAACCCACGGGTCTCCTTTATTCCTAGACAAGATCTGAGCAACACCTCACAATCCACATTCCTCTTTCAGAGAATATTTGTCTCAGGTCCCACCAGGCTGCATATTCATAGCACAGCGAGGTGGTTTCGCTACAACAGAAGGAAGATGAAGCAGGACGATCTTGGACTTTATTTTTTTTCCCCTAAAGAAGGCAAGCTAGTGTAACCTGTACACACTGATTTTCTAATTTTGCTTTGAATAGCATCAGCCCAGCAACAGCTGCAGCCAACCAGAGCTCAGACAAACAGGTAGAACTGGAGGAAGCTGGAGCAAAACTGAGCGTGACAATACAACCTTGGGGAGAGCTACTCCAGTTCACCGAAGCTGAGCCTCGACCCTCAGCCTGGGTTTCAATATGAATCAGGTTCCATTAGCCTGGGGTGGCAAGACTTGAACTGGAACAAAATAAGAAGCAGCTCCCTGCTAGACAGGATGGGCTGTGCCAAGCTCCAAGGGCAGAAAAAGTGACCACAAAACCAGTTGGAGACATTCCAGTGCCAGTTCAGAGATGGGGAGTCTGAGGTTGGGAG